TGATGAAGATGAGAGTGATGATGAAGAGGTCATGCATGGGGGGATATGACTCTGTGATCAGAAGGAAGTTGGCAAGAGGAAAAAGAAGAAGGATACACGAGATTTGATCTCTGATGGAAGTTGAAGATGAAGAAAGCGATGAAGATTTGGAGATTAAAGGTGCTTTATGTTCAAGAGGATTTTATCCTACAATGACTAGCAAAGAAGAAATAGAGATATAGACCGATGCTTATCATGCCTGGATAAAGCAAATAGTTTAGAAGTAACACAGCTGAAGATACAGAAGAGGAGAAACTGCTGAGAAAAGGATCCCAAGAATTGGAGAAGAAGAAAGAACAGGACGAAGAAACTCTGAAAACTCAATCATACAACGGGTGGAGAAGATAAGTTTTGGTTATGAAGAATCAGAGTGAACCAAATCAACAATCACTGTTACAGCTTCAACTGAAAAAATATCAAATGCAATTGTATCAGCCACCAAGGGCGGCACCAGTTGATTCATATCCACAGCCAATTTCTGGACAGACACAGAATTGGAGAGGAAGAAGACTTAGAAGGAGGAGGAAGATTTCAGCTACACTTCCAGCAACTTTCAGAAGACTGTTATAATTGTGGACAGATTGGGTACTTTACCTGTGATGAAAATGCGTCAGGAGGAAACAACAGAGGAAGATAAAGGAGCAAGTGAAGATCACCTGTTAGTGCCTAGAAGATCCGGAAGGGGGGTATCAGCTGAGAGCATCGATTAGAGAAGAAGAGAAAATAGCTAACAGTTGAAACAACCGACCATTAGAAGTGATGGTGAATAGGGGAAAACTTATCTGGGTTCAGCCTAAAGAGGTTAAACATCTCACTAATTGATAACTAATTAGGATAGGGATTTGAGGTAGTAAAACAGTTAATTACTCTTAAGGTACTAATATTAGAAGATACTGTTATTGCAGGGTTGGGAAGAGATGCATTGTTTGAATTGAATTGTACAATAAGATGTACACTAGACGACTGTCTATTAGACAATCTGTCTGAAAAGTTAAAAGGGGTGACTGTTTATTCTGGGTTACATTCTTACACTAAGAGATTTCAGGCTAGGCTAAAAGGTGTTTAGACGTTTGCCAAGTCTGTGTGTAATGAGTCAGAAGCAGGTGGGGAACTTTCCCAATCACATATTCTAAAAATTTGGGGGTAAGGGATTTTGTGAATAAATCAGGGGAAAAAGTTGTAAATGTTATGAGAGAAAAGATTAGATTAAAATAAGTTAGGAGGACTAGGTTGAAGGAACTCTAAGACAGTAAGCTAAGTTTCAAAGTTAGTAGTAAGACAGAGAGAGAACAGTGAGGAAGGACGTTTTAGAGTTTAGTGGGAAGATATGGTAGGAGGTTAGATCTGTTAGGGGCAGATGCATTGAGAAAGTATGTGTTGCTGAATGATAAGAGAAGATTGAGGGTGATTGAGTATCTATATTTACAGTTTCCAGCAGGAAGATCAAGGTAATTATAGGTGTATTTGTTATAATCAAAAGTTTGAAAGTTTAGAGGTAGGACTGAGAGTGGGAAAAAGTGACACTAGTGGTGATAGATGGAAGTACAAGTAAAGAGTTCAAAGTCTTAGGGGAAAACTGGGGAAAATTAGGAGTAACTAAGGACATTAACACTTCAGTTTATTAGAACAACAGGGAGAAGCAATTTAACTCTTTCAACATTGATAGTTATTAAAGCCATAAATATATCGCATTTGGTTATAAGGGAACCAATACAGCACCAATTTTAGGGGAAAGAATACTTATTGGGGTTAGGATGGGGACGTTTCTCCCATATGGAGAGATAATTATGGAGAATAAGTATTGTTATCAGGACCAGGAGTAGAAGCTGTTGCCCTAGTCAAAGGAGGGATAGTTTGTACAAACGATATGAAGTGGAAGAGGTTAGGAGTGATTTTCCATTTGGGAATTTTAAAAATGGGGAATATATTTTATTTTTGGGGGAAAATAGAATTTTTCTGGGAAGAAAGGGTTTAAAGGGTTTGTAACCTTAAAATGAGGTAAGGAATTTTTAAAATGTTAATTTTCCCCAGTCAAGAAAGTTTAGGGGAAAAGTGTTAAATAGAAAAACCCTTAGGGGGGTTTTTCCCCGGTTTTAAGGAATTAGGTAAACATGGTAATTTTTAAAAGGGTTTTAATGGAGGAAAGAAATTGGGTAGCCGCAAAACCGAAATTAAAGGGGGGAAAAGGGTTTTTGTTACAGGGGGGGGCCTTTCCCGGATATACAATAGGTTTAAAAAAGGGAACTGTATAGAAATATAGTTAATAGGCAACTTTTTTTAATGAAACGGAAGGATTAAGTACGTTTCCTTCTGGGGAAAATTTGGAAAAACCATCTGAAATAAATTTTGGGGATTTTTTAGAAAACCCCCAAAAAAGTTAACGGGGGAAAAAGGGGGCTTTTCAAGGGTACGAAAGTCATTTAGAAAAATAGTGTTTTGAAAAGGAATATTTTGGTTTCTGGAAAGAAAACCCCTTGGGGTTTTAAAAAGGGGAAAAAAAAAGGGGGGAACAAGGAAACCCTGGGTTTTAAAAATTGGGGAAAAAATTTTTTTGAAAAAAAAAGATAAATATTTTTTTGGGAAAAAGTGGGAATTTAAAGAGGGTAAAAACTGTTGGAAATTAAAAAAAAAAATTTAAAACCGGTTTGGAGCGCTTTTGGTTAAACGTTAGCTTTGTCAAATGACTTTAATTTTTAGGGATTTTGGGGTTTTTGAGATAAAATAATTTTCTTTTCCCAGGAAAGGGTTTTTTTTAAGTTAAGGTTTAAGTTTTTTTTTAAAAGATACCCAAAGGGAAATTTGAAAAGAAAAATAGGTAAAAGGAACCCCCCCCCAAACCCCAAAAAAACCCCCCAAGAAGGGGGAAAACAAGGTGAAAAATTGGGGCAAAAAAAAAAGTTAATTTTGGGTCCAATAAAAAATTGGGGTAAGATGTTTTGGAAATAAGGGGATGATTTTTGGGGACTTGGTTGAAGCATGGCCTTTGGGGGGATTGGAAAATTTTTGTTTTTCTTTATAAACCTGGTTGTTTAAAGACGACCCTTTTAGGTTAAAGGGGTAGGTTTTGCTGGGGCAAATGTGCCTTTGGGGTTTTACGGGTAAAGGGGGTGGAATGATGGGGAAAATATCTTTTTAGATATTTTAATTTTTTTTTCAAAGGGGGGGGGGTTTATATTTTAATCAAAGGGGGGGAAAGGGGGTTAGCACCAAACCCTTTTTTTTCTTAAATAGAGTTTTTTTAAAATGGTTTTAAAAAGGGGAAGTTTTGGCTTTTTTTCCCCTTCCCGAAGATTTGGGGGGGGGGGGGATTTGGGTGAAATAAAAAACAATTGAAAAATATACTGGGGGGTCAAGGGGGGTTCCGATTATCCAAACCCTGGGGGGTTAAAGATGAAGTGTAGTGGACTACATTCCAGTGTTTGCAATGAAATATAGACATGTGTAATACATAATTGTGTCATATTCTTAGGGATTAATTTTTGTAGAATGATGTTTGATGTTATTGAATACATGTGAGGAACTTAGATGTTTTTGTTTATTTCGGTGAATGCTTAGGGACAGAAAGTCTAGGCAGGGAGAGTTCCACTTTACGGTCCAATGGGTTGACCAGCCTTAGAGTGGATGTTTTTGGATAGGATTTTGTTTGCAGGGGCTTACATGTGTATTTAATTGCATCATAGTTTCAAGTGCATTTACATGGGTTATGAGGTTATCTGGAGTACCGAAGGTGGTTGCCTGGGGCAGAGGAACCGTGAGAGAATTTTACTGTCTTGATTGATGGATGGATATCTGAAAAGATGGCTGCCGGACAGTTTTTCGCTCTTACACTCCATAGAGATTTGTTCATATGTCAGAGTAATGTATTCACACTTCATATGTCATAGTAATGTATTCACACTTCATAAACAGTTATTGCATAGAAAGGTATTTACACTCTAGAGAAGAATGTTTTTGGTTTAATGTTAAAGATACTCAATAAGATAAATTGTTACTAGTCATAATCCTATTCTGTTTGTTTTCGAGACGTTTAGTTCGTCTCGAAGGGGGGAATATCGTATCTGAAGATTATGCCTTTGTTAAATGTTTTTCATGAAGAAATGGAATGTTGTTTGTGTTAGTATCAAGAGGGAATGTTTTGGGTGTGACGTCACATACAACAGACCGGAAGTGTCTTGTAGACAGGGGAGACTGGGGATTGGCCAGAAGAGGGAGCTTCATTGTTTATAAATAGGGGGGTTAAACGAAGAAGAAGGCAGAGCGAGCAGCCATTCGGAGGCGTCGTTCTCCGGGTGTCATGTCACCTGTCATTTATGCTGTAACCTCGTGATTTTAATAAAAGCCTCTAACACGATGCAGCATAGACGGACTCTTTGTTGACAGCAATAATGGCCACCATTCACCCGATACGACACTGCATTAAAGTCACTGGTCATTAGGAGCGTCGCCTCTGGGTGGGCATTTTCTTGTTTGCTTATCTCTCTACAGCGTCATCTCTTCCTTCTTCGAGTGTGTCGTCATTGTTGGTAATCAGGCCTACTACTGTTGTGTAGTCTGCAAACTTTATTATTGAGTGGCCACGCAGTCATACACAAAATAGCACAATTGGTCAGGAGCCCATAAAATGTCCACTATTCCCTCCAGCCCCAAACCTTGATTAGATAGTGATTGGATCATACTGCTCAGATCACAAAACCGAGGGAGGAGAGGGAGGGAGGGAGGGAGGGGGAGGGAGGGAGAGAGAGAGAGAGAGAGAGAGATGAGAGAGAGAGAGAAGAGAAGAGAAGAGAGGAAGAGAGAGAGAGACTATCAGTCTCTCTCTCTATCTCGCTCTCTCTCGCTTCCTTTCTCTCCTCTTCCTCTTCTCTCTTTCTCTCTAGCTAGAGACGCAGCCCAGCCCCTCCTAAATGTGCGTCAGTGAAAGTGTTTAGACCGGGGATCCAGCCCACTCACACACAATTTCCCGTTAGGCACACATCAACAGCAGTACTAATTTGGGAATGGGAAGATCATACCAAATAATCATGTTGGAGAACAAGGTTTTTTCCTGTTTTGTATTCTATAGTGTTCTCCTGGTAATCAAGATGTACATCATAGCAATCATCACTGGACAAGTAAGGCTGCGCAAAAAGGTGAGAGACTCTGTGCGTCCTAGCTGACAGTTTATTAGGCTAATTCAGTATTTGATGTATGGTTTGAACATCTTAGTTCCTAGTCAAGTACTGCACTGTATAAACATTGATCAGGGTATTCATTCTCTCTCTCTCTCTCTCTCTCTTTTTCTCTCTCTCATGTGAAGGCTTTCGCGAACCCAGAGGATGCGCAGAGACATGGTGGCGTCCAGCACTTCAGAGAGGATCCGGATGTAGAGCGGTGCCGAAGGTGAGAGGAATGATTACTGTTATCTGATTCTAATGTAGCCTTGCCTATTGACATTGATGGTAGCAATATGATTACATTTTAACAGTGGTCTAAAATTGAACAGTAATAGTTTGTATTTTTCTCAAACGTGAATGGAGAATTTTATCTGGATCTGGTTGAAATCTTTAGAGATCATTTGTGGCACTTTTGTTTAAATTTCATGGGCGTTTGTTCTCCAGCCTCGGTGTCTGTGTTGTTTTAACTTGTCTGGAAATGATCCATGACAGCAGAAAAAACATTTTTTTTTAACACTGAATACTTTTCTCCTTCACATGGGGCCCTCTCTGACCAGAGTCAGGAAATATGTTGAGCTGAGCAGGCATTCATACATTGATGCACAATAAAATGGAATGCTTCATGACTGGTATCATTTAGGTCCAATTAAGATTCACTGCATTAACTAATGATAACCAGTAGTCATATGGCATAGGGTAGAATGCGTGGGGAGTGAAGTTGAATTCTTATCAGGGCAGGCCTCCTACGATAATATTAGTACAGGAGTGGCTTTGTAGCCAGAGGAAGCCATTTAATGGTGGTTTCAGTCTGTACACTTAACAGATTCCGGAGGGGTATATGCTTGTCCAGCTCTGCCAAAATAATCAAACAGTTAAAGGTCAAGTGTGGATTCTGATTAGTCAACACCATGGGAGGTCCTGTGTCCTTTTCCATATATTGATGTTGATTGGTTGGAGTGGTACTTCAATTAAACAAAGTAAGATGAACAACACACTGCAATTCTCTGAGATTACATACAACCTTCCTCTTCCTTCCCTTCCTTTTTCTGAGCAAATCTGATTTCATTGGAATGCCTGAATGGCTTCTGAAGAAAATGCGTAGTATTGAGTCTGTTTTGGCTCTTGAGGGTGATTTGAAATCCATGGTCTGTGTTTTACAACTGACTCAGCTAGCTGACGGTAAAGCCCATGCTTAAATAGAGACATTCTATAGGTCCATTCAGAGACAGAGACTGGAATACCTGAGAAGAATGTTCCTCTTGGGTAAAAGTGTGTGTCAGTCAGAGGAGAGGAAGTGATTCACTTTTAGTAAGAAACCTGGATAAGCAGCTATACTCCCAGACTCTTGTAATGGAGGGTTTCTACGCTCAACCTGTAGTCTAAATCCCTCCCTAATGTTGGCTAATGGAAAAAATTTGTTTGTGATGTTGAGTAATCATAGCGGAAGTGTTTTCACTGTTTGGGTCAGTGCCAGACGGCTGAGTCAGACGACCGTATACCGTAAGTTCCAGGAATGAACTTCTGATTCAAAACAGATGTGTTAGCATGGAGAGCGGTTGTGTGTATCCAAGTAATTCTAGGCTACTTGTTGAGTGCAAACCGCTTAGTTATTCGCTTAAAAACCCATACCTCCGTGATAATGAATATGAATATACCCAATCAATGAATATCTAAAAATATACATCTAAAACATATAATCTAATATTCTCTTTCGTGTGTTTCAGGGCTCACCGTAACGACATGGAGAATATATTCCCCTTCCTGTTCCTGGGGGCCGTCTACTCCCTGATTGGCCCGTCGCTGGTTGTGGCCCACGCTCACTTCCTGGTCTTCTTCCTGTTCCGCGTGCTCCATACAGTGGCCTACCTGTGTGTCCTGCGGGCACCCACGCGCTCCCTGGCCTACGTCATCACCCAGGTTCCCTGCATCTCCATGGCCGTTCAGATCCTCGCATGCGTGTTCTGGCTCTATCGGTGACCGCGTCAATCTGTGACCTATCTCAGTGGATGATTAGGGCCTGATAAGAGCGGTAGAGGATACTGCTCGTAAGAGGGATGGATGCTTTTCATATGAGGGAAATCCTAAAGACTGTGTCGTCATCAGACTGCAATGCTACAACAGCAGTTTGTGCCTCTCAGCGATACTCTATAAAGTGTACACTCAGAAATGAAGTCAGTGTTGTGCTCTAGCTAGTACATCTTCATGTAGTACTGTATTCTTTCACATCGTAGTCACTTAGCAGATGCTATTATCCAGAGCAACTTGCAGGAGCCTTGCTCAAGGGCACATAGTCAGATTTTTCACCTAGTTGGCTTGGGGATTTGAACCAGCGACCTTTCAGTTACTGGCCCAATGCTCTTAACCACCAGGCTATCTATATGCTACAGAATGTTGAAGTCAATTGACTCCCTCTGAAGGTTATGGGGACACTACTCTCTGAAGAAAAAGGTTAACCTTTCAATTAACATGTAACTTTGTAATCAATTAATTGTATTGACATGTTTTATACACAAGTGAAGGTTGTTGCTTGTTTTTGTCTTTTTCATTCTGTATTTCTTGTCATTCAACAAGTGGTATTTTTGTAGGAAAGTCTGGGATATAGTGACCTATTTGCTCAAACCAGTTTGATCCAGTTTTTTAGAGATTGAACTGAAGAGCAGTTTATAATAATAAAATTTTTCAATTAAAACAGAAGAAAACGGTTGAATACCATATTCTAAGGAATATTTCCGGTGTGGTGGTCACTGTATTTGTTTACAATTCATTGGCCACTATGCTATCACATGATGGATATAGAGTTGTGTCAGGTCTACCACTCCTGTCGATCAAATCAAATCAAATTGTATTTGTCACATACACATGTTTAGCAGATGTAATTGCGGGTGTAGCGAAATGCTTGTGCTTCTAGATCTGACATTGCAGTAATATCTAACAAGTAATATCTAACAATTTCACAACATATACCCAATACACACAAATCTAGTAAGGAATGTAATTTAAGAATATATACAGTTGAAGTCGGAAGTTTACATACACCATAGCCAAATACATTTAAACTCAGTTTTTCACAATTCCTGACATTTAATCCTAGTATAAATTCCCTGTCTTAGATCAGTTAGGATCACCACTTTATTTTAAGAATGTGAAATGTCAGAATAATAGTAGAGAGAATGATTTATTTCAGCTTTTATTTCTTTCATCACATTCCCAGTGGGTCAGAAGTTTACATACACTCAATTAGTATTTGGTGGTATTGCCTTTAAATTGTTTAACTTGGGTCAAACGTTTTGGGTAGCCTTCCACAAGCTTCCCACAATAAGTAGGGTGAATTTTGGCCCATTCATCCTGACAGCGCTGGTGTATCTGAGTCAGGTTTGTAGGCCTCCTTGCTCGCACACGCTTTTTCAGTTCTGCTCAAAAATTTTCTATAGGATTGAGGTCAGGGCTTTGTGATGCCATTCCAATACCTTGACTTTGTTGTCCTTAAGCCATTTTGATACAACTTTGGAAGTATGCTTGGGGTCATTGTCCATTTGGAAGACCCATTTGCGACCCAGCTTTAACTTCCTGACTGATGTCTTGAGATGTTGCTTCAATATGTCCACATAATTTTCCTTCCTCATGATGCCATCTATTTTGTGAAGTGCACCAGTCCCTCCTGCAGCAAAGCACCCCCACAACATGATGCTGCCACCCCCGTGCTTCACGGTTGGGATGGTGTTCTTCGGCTTGCAAGCGACCCACTTTTTCCTCCAAACATAACGATGGTCATTATAGCCAAACAGTTATATTTTTGTTTCGTCAGACCAGAGGACATTTCTCCAAAAAGTACGATCTTTGTCCCCATGTGCAGTTGCAAACCGTAGTCGGGTTTTTTATGGCGGTTTTGGAGCAGTGGCTTCTTCCTTGCTGAGCGGCCTTTCAGGTTATGTCGATATAGGACTAGTTTTACTGTGGATATAGATACGTTTGTACCTGTTTCCTCCAGCATCTTCACAAGGTCCTTTGCTAGGAGACAGAACTCGTCTCCTTCCTGAGCGGTATGACGGCTGCGTTGTCACATGGTGTTTATACTTGCGTATTATTGTTTGTACAGATGAACGTGGTACCTTCAGGCGTTTGGAAATTGCTCCCAAGGATGAATCAGACTTGTGAATGTCTACAAATTTTTTTCTTGGCTAATTTCTTTAGATTTTCCCATGATGTCAAGCAAAGAGGCACTGAGTTTGAAGGTTGGCCTTGAAATACATCCACAGGTACACCTCCAATTGACTCAAATGATGTCAATTAGCCTATCAGAAGCTTCTAAAGCCATGACATAATTTTCCTGAATTTTCCAAGCTGTTTAAAGGCGCAGTCAACTTCTGACCCACTGGAATTGTGATACAGTGAATTATAAGTGAAATAATCTGTCTGTAAACAATTGTTGGAAATATTACTTGTGTCATTCACAAAGTAGATGTCCTAACCGACTTACCAAAGTTTGTTAACAAGAAATTTGTGGAGTGGTTGAAAAACGTTTTTGTGAAGTTTTAATGACTTCAACCTAAGTGTATGTAAACTTCCGACTTCAACTGTACATATATGGACAAGCAATGACAGAGCGGCATGGACTAAGATACAGTAGAATATTATAGAATAGAATACAGTATATACATATGAGATGAGTAGTGCAAGATATATAAACATTATTAAAGTGACTAGTGTTCCATTTCTTAAAGTGGCCAGTGATTTTAATAGGCAGCAGCAGCCTCTAATGTCCTAGTTATGGATATTTAACAGTCTGATGGCCTTGAGATAGAAGCTGTTTTTCATTCTCTCTGTCCCTGCTTTGATGCACCTATACTGACCTCACCTTCTGGATGTTAGCGGGGTGAACAGGCAGTGGCTTGGGTGGTTGATGTCCTTGATTATCTTTTTGGCCTTCCTGTGACATCGGGTGCTGTATGTGTCTTGGAGGGCGGGTAGTTTGCCCCCGGTAATGCGTTCAGCAGACCGCACCACCCTCTGGAGAGCCCTGTGGTTGCGGGCGGTGCAGTTGCCGTACCAGGCGGTGATACAGCCCGACAGGATGCTCTCAATTGTGCATCTGTAAATGTTTGTGAGGGTTTTAGGTGCCAGGCCAAATTTATTCAGCCTCCTGAGGTTGAAGAGGCTCTGTTGCGCCTTCTTCACCACACTGTCTGCGTGGGTGGACCATTTCAGTTTGTCAGTGATGTGTACGCTAAGGAACTTGAAGCTTTCCACCTTCTCCACTGTGGTCCCGTCGATGTGGATAGGGGGGTGCACCCTCTGCTGTTTCCTGAAGTCCACGATCATCTCCTTTGTTTTGTTGACGTTGAGTGAGAGGTTATTTTCCTGGCACCACACTCCCAGAGCCCTCACCTCCTCCCTGTAGGCGGTCTCGTCATTGTTGGCAATCAAGCCTACTACTGTTGTGTCGTCTGCAAACTTGTTGATTGAGTTGGAGGCGTGCTTGGCCTCGCAGTCATGGGTGAACAGGGAGTACATGAGGGGGCTGAGCACGCAACCTTCTGGGGGATCAGCGAAGTGGAGATGTTGTTTCCTACCTTCACCACCTGGGGGCGGCCCGTCAGGAAGTCCAGGACCCAGTTGCACAGGGCGGGGTTCAGACCCAGGGCCTCGAGCTTAATGATGAGCTTGAAGGGTACTATGCTGTTGAATGCTGAGCTATAGTCAATGAACAGCATTCTTCCATAGGTATTCCTCTTGTCCAGATGGGATAGGACAGTGTGCATTGTGATGGCGATTACATCGTCTGTGGATCTATTGGGGCGGTAAGCAAATTGAAGTGGGTCTAGGGTGACAGGTAAGGTTAGAGGTGATATGATCCTTGACTAGTCTCTCAAAGCACTTCATGATGACAGAGGTGAGTGCTACGGGGCGATAGTCATTTAGTTCAGTTACCTTTGCTTTCTTGGGTACAGGAACAATGGTGGCCATCTTGAAGCATGTGGGAACAGCAGACTGGGAAAGGGAGAGATTGAATATGTCCATAAACACACCAGCCAGCTGGTCTGCGCATGCTCTGAGGACGTGGCTAGGGATGCCGTCTGGGCCGGCAGCCTTGCGGGAGTTAACATGCTTAAATGTCTTACTCATGTCACCCACGGAGAAGGAGAGGCCACAGTCCTTGGTAGTGGGCCTCGTCGGTGACACTGTGTTATCCTCAAAGCGGGCGAAGAAGGTGTTTAACTTGTCTGGAAGCGAGACGTCGGTGTCGGCGATGTGGCTGGTTTTCCTTTTGTAGTCCGTGATTGTCTGTAGACCCTGCCACATACGTCTCGTTTCTGGGCCGTTGAATTGTGACTCCACTTTGTCTCTATACTGATGTTTTGCCAGTTTAATTGCCTTGCGGAGTGAGTAGCTACACTGTTTTTATTTTGCCATATTCCCAGTCACTTTGCCATGGTTAAGTGCTGTGGTTCGCGCTTTCAGTTTTGCGCGAATGTTGCCATCTATCCACGGTTTCTGGTTAGGGTAGGTTTTAATAGTCACAGTTGGCACAACATCACCTATACACTTCCTGATAAACTCAGTCACTGTTTCAGTGTATTTGTCTAAATCATTTTCGCAAGCTACCCAGAACATATCCCAGTCCACGTAATCAAAACAATCTTGCAGTGTGGATTCCGATTGGTCAGACCAGCGTTGAATAGTCCTTAGCACGGGTACTTCCTGTTTGAGTTTCTGCCTATAGGAAGGGAGGAGCAAAATGGAGTCGTGGTCAGATTTGCCGAAAGGAGGGTTGGGGAGGGCATTATAACCATCCCAGAAGTTTGAATAGCAATGGTCAAGGATCTTAGCAGCGTGAGTACAACAGTCGATATGTTGATAGAACTTCGGCAGCCTAGTCCTCAAATTTGCTTTGTTAAAATCCCCGGCTACAATAAATGCAGCCTCAGGATATGTGGTTTCCAGTTTGCATAAAGTCCAGTGAAGTTCTTTGAGGGCCATCATGGTATCGGCTTGAGGGGGGATATACACGGCCGTGACTATAACCAAAGAAGATTCTCTTGGGAGATAATACGGTCTGCATTTGATTGTGAGGTATTCTAGGTCGGGTGAACAGAAAGACTTGAGTTCCTGTATGTTACTACAATTACATTACATTCATGAGTCATTAATCATGAAACGCACACCTCCGCCCTTCTGCTTCCCGGAGAGATATTTATTCCTGTCTGTGCGATGAACTGAGAACCCATTTGGCTGGAAATATTTAAATAGAATATCCCCAGAGAGCCATGTTTCTGTGGAACAAAGTATGTTACAGGCCTTGATGTCTCTCTGGAAAG